CTTTGCAGCCTCTGCTATAGATCTGGGAATGCCAAGTACCCTGCCAGCCTCCCTTGCAGCTAGGGGTGGCCATGTGATTCAGCTGTGGCCAAAGAGACAGAAGAGGATATTTGCTGGGGCTTCTGGGTAAGTTTCTGCTTTCCTGATCAAAGGGATAGGCAAGAGGGGAGAAGTCTTATCCCCACCCCACCCCCCATCTCCTCTGGGCATGAATGAGACACCTGGAGTTTGACAAAACAAGCTTGAAGGCATAAAGAGCAAAAGACAGCCCAGTGAAAATGAAGAAAAATGCCTAAATCTTTGCAGACATCATTGAGCAGCTGAACCAACTCCAGGAAAGGCTCACTGCTGTACTTATTATTATGTGAGAAAAATATACTGTTTAGCCACAGAGAGTCAGGTGTCTGTTATTTACAGCTGCATGTATTACTGATGCCTGTTTATTCAGGACATGGGGAAAAGCCAGGATAAAAGCAAAAAGCTGCACCCCGTCCCCCCTGTGCAGAGGAAGCAACTCTGAAATGCCCTCTTGAACCCTGGACCAAATGGCATGTTTAAGTTTTTAACAATACCACAATGTAACAATTTTCATGAACAAAAATTAAAATAAAGAACTACAACAGCATTCTACAGTGATTTAAGACCTGAAAAGGTCAAGGTATCTGATAATCGGATGGGTTTCAGTGGAAACACCGTCTCTGGGTGTTCTGCCAAGAGCGTACATTATTGCCACATTCCTAATTCAAAACCATACATAAGAATGCTTTAACTGAAATGCAGAAGTTAAAAATAAGATATTTAAATAGTAATCTCCCTTCTTTCTCAAAGACAAATGTGCCTATTAACCCTGGGTGGTAACAGGAAGATTTCTTTCTCTTACATTTTATATGACATTTTTTTCAAGCCATTCACAAGGAAATCAGCATGGAAAAAATAATTTAGGAAGTTGGCTTCTGATCAGCTACTTCACTGAATTAAAGTGCAATCAGGCTCATAACTTTTAAGTAGAAATACTAAAAGTGTGTACTAAAGCCCTTTGCATAAAGTGCCGTGCGACATGGGGCGGATGGGAGGCGCTTGGGGACAAGGACTCACAAGACACCACAGACGCTCTTGTGGAGTTTACAGCCTGGTTAGGGCAGGAAGAGATCAGTGTGCAAAGTTAAATGAAATGTTTCAGTAACAGTTCTAGACAGTAGAAGAGATGTCATAAAACAGGGAACGATTCATTGCCAAAGAGATTGTTGATGACAATAACCACTGCAGGATTTCAAAGAAAAAGTGACTTCAAGCCCAGGAAGGTCTGGGCCCGGGAGAGTTCACCATGAAGGCAGGGGCCCGGCTCCAACTTATGAGAAAGCCTTGGTGGGGGGTGACTGGTGTGGGGAGGGAGCCTGCTGGCCGGGGCGGAGGTGGGCGGGGCCAGGCTCAAGAGGAGCATCGCCCACTCAGGAAAGCACAGGCGGCCAAAGGTGGGAGCGGCCCGGGTGTCCGTCGGAGGAGGAATGGCAACAGAATGTGGTACGAGCACATGATGGGGACAGTCTTCAGCCTTCGGAAGGAAGGCAATCCTTTAAGGACACGTGCTTTAAGGATTCACCTTAAAGCCTAGTTATGCTAAGTGAAAGAGCGAGTCACAAAGAGAAGAGTCTATATGATTCTAGTTATATGAGGTACTTAGAGCACTCAAACTCACGCAGAGAGCAGAACAGTGGTGGCAGGTGCTGGGGAGGCTGCAAGAGGGAGTTAATGTTTAATGGGTATGGAGGTTTTTCGGGGTATTTTTTTGATGAAGTCTCATTCTGTCACCCAGGCTGGAGTGCAGTGGCACGATCACGTCACTGCAGCCTCCAACTCCTGGGCTCCAGCGATCCTCCTGCCTCAGCCTCCCAGAGTGTGAGGAGCACAGGCACGCGCCACCGCACCTGGCCTTAACTAACATTTCTAATATCCACCGCACCTGGCCCTCACTAACATTACTAATATCTGGCTATCTGCGTCTATTGTAACCCTAACCTAAGAGGCATCAGAATTCTTGGGTGCCCTCATTCTAAACGTGAGCCTGGGCCCAGGGTGATTTTGCCTGCACCGCCGCGGCCGGTGTGCTACAACGCTCATCACCACAGCTCCCTGGCAAGAGGTAAGTTTGCACAGCACGGTCCCCCTGAGTTCTGGTCCTTCCACTGAGCCCAAGGCAGGCCTCCTGGTTAATGACTTGGGGAAACTATCATTTTTAGGGTGGCCTTACGTTAACAACAACAAAAAAGTGAACTATAAATACGAAAACTTCTTGTCAGTGTCACCAAAAGAAAACTACCTTCCTGCAACAATCTGTTCTTCAACAGAAATATTTTTAATCCCCAGGTAGATATGGATATTGGAAAACTTACACCTGGCCCACAAGAACTTTAGATCACTGGGCATACAAGCCTACATTTTTATTCATGAGCTCTTCTCAGTTTTTATGCTTGTTCTCTTATTTTGCTTCATTTTTAATTTAGGAAACTATGGCTAATATATTAGATCACTTTTGTTGCCAGCTCTTATTGAAATTCCAAAGTCTTTAATGACAGAGTGCTAAAAAAGAAAAAAGGAAGAAAAGCATAAAATGTGTCAAGGAAATGGAGTTCCTATCATTTCACTCACAAATTTCGCCTTTTAAACGTAGTCCCCTTCTACCCAGGGTTCAGTGAAAGATGGTTTCCTTATTGTCATTTATTAGCCATGACAGGCAGCAACACTTCTCTCAGATACAGTCTCCCTTCACCACAATTATCTAGTAATGCCCGGCAGGCAAAACACTGCGCAAACTCCTTCCTTCTGGAATGCTTCTCCCAAAGGCAACAGTTCAAAGCAAACCTCTATTAACTGGAACACTGACGTCTGCAGAATTCTCTGGATGGGACAATTCTGCTACTCTTGCCACGATACCAGAAACTAAGACACAATTACTTACACTCCAGTCACCAGGAAGTCAGGGTCAGCGACAGCACTCATCGGTGGAAGCCTTACACATGCCAGTGACAGCATCACCCCACTAACCGCCCAACCACAGACTGTCAAGACCTGTACTTCCCTCCTAGCGTGGAACTTCCCCGTTAACCTCCTCCCAAAGAGGAAAAAGGGGGAAAAAAATTTTTTTTTCACTAAAACTCAATGTAACAACCAGACAAAATATAAGATAGTATCAAAATTTTAAAAGTTAGATGTTCTGCTGGCTTATTAGCCCCGAGACATATTTATGAACGTGACAAAAATTACATGCTCCTTGTTAATGGGGCTCACAACTCATGACTTGCAGCAACACAAAAATCTTTTATTTTCTATCTTTAAGTCTCTTTACCGACTTCTTTCTTCCATATACCTTCTGGAAAAAAAACAAAACAAAACAGAGGGTAAGGGGTGTGGAGGAGAAAAGAGAAAGAAATCAAGGAGAGAAGAGAAGAGAGATTTAGAAGGAGAATAAGGTAGCCAGGTGTGGTGGTGCACACCTGTAGTCCCAGCCACTCGTGAGGCCGAGGCGGGAGGATCGCTTGAGCCCAGGATTTCGAACCCAGCCTAGGCAACATAGCGAGACCCTGTCTCTAAAAAAGAATGAAGGAAGACAGCACAATGAGAGGTCAGCAGAAGACAGAACTCAGGACTGAAGCCTTCCGGGAGGGAGGAGGCCCGGGACCCACCAGACGGCCCGCCCGACACCAGATGCAGGGCACACAGAGCAGTAAGAGCCTTTCTTAACAACTTAATCTGGCCCATAAAGAAGCACCAGCCCTCAGCCCTGGGCAAGCACACAGCTTTAGCATTAAAACACATGTAATGTACTTCACAGACAATACACACAGGACACAAGAGTTAAGCAAATGATTGTAACAACATAAAAATGAACATGCTTTAGTGGGGTAGATTTTAATACGATTTTAATATTAGGAAGGAGCCAAATTACAAAATGCCCTAGAATGTGGAGTACAGAACCTCGGAGACAAAATAAAAACTCATGAAAATATAAGAGCACTTAAAAAAGGTAATAATCTTTCTCAACAAAGGTACTGAGCAGGTTTAATAAAAATTAGACGAGATTAAAGACAAAGGGCCGGGCCACGCGTCCCAACCGTGGTGATCAGGAAGTGCTATCTGTGTAGCTGACAGCGCAGGCCCAGGAGCACACACGAGCTCCAGCCACCGACAGCTCCGCGATAACCTGCCTCCAGGTGGGCGGAATTTCTCACGATTCACTTACAGGATAGGAATGAATTTACTCTGGGTTGCAGGGCTGCCTTGGAAATGAACCGTGCTGGCATTCAGAGGAAAGGCAACGAGGTCCACGTGACGGACCCCTCCCAACCACACAACCCAGCTGCCACCACAGTGGAGCGTGGTCTTCGGGGCACCAAGGGAGACAGGCTGTCCTCTCTGGGAACAACTCATTATTCAGATCAACGTAGGATCTCCATGTGACCAACAAACCAAAAATAAGCCAAAACGGCAGGGGTCCCCACCCCCAAAGGACTAATGTGCCCCCACCCTGTGTCCAGCAGGACAGCAGGGGCAGAGGAAACGGCCCTGGTTCCATTATGCTCATCACCTGTCATTACGGATGTGCCACACCATCTCGGTTTTCAGCGTGGGTAGGTGGGGGCTTCTCTCGACTCTCTGCAGCAAATACATTAACACTGTCACTGAGTCCTGACTTTTTTCCAAGGGCACTACATGTCATGCTTCATTTGGGCCAGATGTTCACATCAGTGTGTCTGCTCGTCCCCACTAAGAACACAACAGCGATTCTTTATTTGTCCTTCCACACACGCAGCAGCGAAGGGCGGCTGCTGGAATGCAGCGGATGACAGACAGCTGGGGCCGCTCGGCAGCGCCACCAGCATCCTGCAAGCCTGGACACGAGGGGCAGGCACCCTTGCTCTAGGCCACGGAGGGGTTCCCTTATTTTAAACCCTAAATCAATAGTTCAAACAGATGTGGATTCCATGTGACAGGAGAGACAGTAAGGAAGATTTGAGGCTTTATATTCTTTAGATGTCTACTTTTGCTGCACTGGCTATTAAAAAGTTATGTGTAACTTCAAGATGAAAGGCATTAGCAGCTTCTTAGAAGAGGATAATCCCAATCTTCTGGAGATTTAATGAGATGTAACTCACTGAAGCTTCTGACTTGCTCTGCTGTTAATTGAATCAAAGTCAATGACAATCTTGCTGCACTTCGGTGTGAATTTCCTAAACATAAAAAACAAAACATAGAAAGGTATGATCTGGTGAGCAGTTAAAGCAATTTGTTTACGTTGGCTTAACTTATATTTTCTATGTGGAGAAATAAATGTCCTGGGATTTGCTTGATATTTTATCTCCATGGGAGCCAATTATAGCGCACCACACCGGGAGAGAGGCGGAGCAGAAGAGACAAGACAAAAAGAGATGCATGGGGTGGCGTGGTTTGTACGTTCTTCAGCTATCTGAGTTTCACAAATTATCAGGGAGTCAAAGGATTTCTAACAAGTTAGCTGCACAACATGATATCCGATTACTAGTTTTCCCATCAGATTTATCTCATTTTCTAGGAAATTTCTGTAGACAACTTGGAGTGACTCTAATGTAAAAAACAGTAAATTTTCTTTTGCCTCTTATACATAGCAAAAAACAACTAGCTTTAATGAGGAATAATTGTTGAAGTTATGTTCTAAGAATGCAAATGTAAAATAAACCAACTATATTTTTTTACTCATTAACTTTTCTTTTTTTTGTTTTTTAGAGACAGGGTCTTGCTGTCACCCAGGCTAGAGTGCAATGGCGTCATCATAGCTCACTGGAGCCTCAAACTTCTGGACTCCAGCCATCCTCCTGCCTCAGCCTCTGAAGCAGCTGGGACTACAGGTACACACCATCATGTCTAGCTAACAGGCTAATTTAAAAAAATTTTTTGTAGAGACAGGGTCTTGCTATGTTGCCAAGGCTGGTCTCAAACTCCTGGGCTCAAGCGATCCTCCTGCCTCAGCCTCCCAAAGTGCTGTCTCATTGAGACACTGAGCCTGGCCCTCAGTAACTTCTTACTTATTACCTCTACAACAATTATAAAGAAAATTATAAATATATATATTTTTAAGAATCAGTAAGCAAGAGAGTATGTAAATAACGTGGATTTAAAGTCTCATAAGGTATAACAGCGGAGTTCAGGAGATGGTTCTGCATAACTTGTCTCCCTAATGATCAGCACAGGGGCCAGCCGAGCCACCAGCCGTGACAGCCCCGCTGTTGCTCACCACTAACACCGTAAAACTTTGTAAACCTGCACTGTCCCAGAGAAATCTTCTGCCATGAATCAAAGGTGGTTGAACTTACTTGGAAGTAAAACATATCTTACAATCTTTGCTTAGCAAACATAATCATAAAAATCCAAAAGACTTCAAATCTCAACTTAAAACGTTGCTGTAAAAAGAATTCCTGGTGTTTCAACCTGGCAGGTTACTTTCAGCCTAAATTTTCTACGCCAGAGTTATTACATTTACAAAATTTACAAAGGTTTGGTGTTACTATTATAAAAAATGTGAATTTTTACATTTCTCACTACTTGAAAAATTAGTGTAAGCCCTGGAAAGTCACTAAGTATAATCATTAAACAAATTGTCTTCAGATACTCCTGTCATCGCTCTTAAAAATCTGCCCCCTAAAATAATTTTGAGACTCTCATGCTCCTACCTTTCCAAAGACACTTCCAAGTGTGGAAGTCAGGCACCAGAGGAGAAACTAAACATCAGTCAAGGTCAAATAAGTCTCCTCATCAGCGCATCACACCGCCCTCCCCAGGTTCTCCCTACTCACCTGAACGTCACCCCGGCCATATTGAACAGGAGCCTCGCGGCTTTTGTCTCATCACTATCGTGGTATTTATCCGACATGAAAATAACTTCTTTAATACCTTAAAAGGTAACAAGGGGAGTCTCCTTAGTAAGTGCACATACAGACACCACAAAGACACGCAGAAGCAGACGGAGCCCTCATATCGTCTCTGATTAATGACCTTTTCCGAGCGTGCCTGCAGACAATGTCCAGTCACTGAAATATACATTTCTGCCACTTCCTAATACAGCAGACGGTGGATTATAGTTAACCTCCCCTCCAGTCTTTATGGATCTTTAACAAATGCAAAGGGAAAGCAAGGAGTCAAGCTTTGATCCAATTAACAAATTTTCTTTACTACAGGTAATCAAATACTCCTTATTCATGAGGCAACTGCTCTTAACTCAAGAAGCTAACGGGGGAGTGGAGGGCGTCGGCAAAACAAGAGGCAAGGACCATGTGCGTCCAAGAGCAGCTATGGAGAGCAGGTCTGTTTTCCTTGCCTGATCTTACCAGGCAGAGCTAACCTGGGAGCCAGGAGTCTGAGGGCCCCGCACTGAAGGCTGCTCCACCAGCCTCAGGGGGGACAGGGAGGCTGGCCGTGTGGAGCACACACTGTTCTTCCCAGGCACCTGCCTCTGCTCCACACCTGAGGCCGAGGCCGGTGAGGAAAACGTCCAAAGGATTTTGGGACAACAACGGGGAAGGAGCCCGCACGCTTCCTTGACTGCGGCTTTTGGTTCGGTACCAGCAGACCTCTTCTGTCTGAGATGCAGGGGCTTGTGATAAACAGCCCCTTTAAACCACACATCTGGCTAAACATGCTAAGTCTTTAAATCTCAAGCCGAGAGTTTTATGGAGATAAAGCGTAGCTGAATCTTAGATGTGACAGTTTGAAAAAGGTGAAATATTCAGAATACAATGGTATAGATTTATGGTAACTGTAATATAAGAAAAACTTAAAGCAGTACACCATTTGAGTCTTATGACATTTATATGCAAAGATATCTTTAGATCCTTAAATATCTACCATGTATTAGATACAAATTAAAATTTCATATACGGACTCCCAGCTGACCTTGTTTCTGACAGAAGTTCATTTCTCTCCCTCCTCCCTAATCTATGCGCAATATGTCAGAGAATAGTAAACTGACAGTAATTACATGCAATGCCTGTGTTGTTTTTTGGCAGCTTGCAGTTTAAGAAGTTGCAAACTAAATTAAAAACATGCTAAGAATCACAAAGGATGCAATTAGTCTTAAAATACCTGGCACCATTCAAAAACAAAACACGGGAAATATCTTGCAAAGCTGATAGTGCAAGTTAATTTAGATCTAAACAATAGCAATTTAAGATCAAACACATCTGCAAAGAGCTGCTGAAGAGCAGGCAGCATCGCAAATGTGACACATGCAAAGGCCGGTTCCTACCTGCCTGGATGATGAGCTTAGCACACTCATTACACGGGAACAAGGCGACATATATACTACAGCCTTTCACGTCGGCCGAATTTTTGTTCATGATGGCATTTAGCTCGGCGTGGCACACTGTGGGTTTGAGAGAGAAAGAAGGGAAGACTCAGGCGGCAGCTCATGAAGAATTTACTACGTGTTAAAGCATTTCATTCCCCCTCTCTGAAATAACATATAACAGACTTAATAAAAAAAAATTGATTAGAAACAGCAAGTACTGAGACTACCAAAGGAGACCCACGTGGCCTGCCCGGGCAGGAGATTAGCCGCCAAGCCGCTGGCGCAGCAGCCCCAGCCGTGAGCACCTGGAGCCGCCAGAGGGGCCGAGGTCAAGTGCTTCCACCCACCCGGCACCAGCCATAGCTCAGCGCTCCACAAGACCCTGGGGTGCTGAATGGCCCCCATAAAATGGCTCATTTGTGTGTTGATATGCACACACAGGGACATTCACTGTGGCTGTTAAGAGGACAGGGAGCAATTTTAAGAGCAGGAGAATCAAGAAGTGAAGCAGCTGAGCATTTCCATCCAGAGGGATCCGCTTCCTATCATCGTTCTGGGCCCACATACACACAGAAAAAACGCCAGCTGATGGCCAGCAGTTTGTCTTGTGTAAGAAAAACATTCATGCACTTACTGGCAAGGAGGAGTCAAATTTTTGATATGTTGGCCCCTCCTACCACCGATCCCAAAACCATGATCCAGGGTCATTCCCCCGACTTGTCTGAGTTCACAGTCAAAGGGAGCACCTTCCTCTCTCCGCAACCCGTCAAAGCTGACCCACTCCCCAGGCCCCCCTGGGTAGATGTTCCTGCCCCCGATTCCACAGGCGGTAGGTATTCCTCCTCCAGCGGGAAGGAGTAGTGCTCACAGGTTTGGGTTTGAGTCCCTTACTCTGCTCTGTGGGGTTTCCGTATGGCCATCTTGTATCGTTACTGAATTTGCTGGGTGTGTTATCGAAATCTGGATTATAAACTCCTATGGCAATGACTCGCAAACTTGTCTGTACATTGGAATACCCTGGTGGAGCTTCCAAAATATTAATACTTTGTATCTGTGCCCCACGCCTGGAAAGTGGGATGGTCTGGGGTATGGCCCAGGACTGGGAATTTTTAAGAGATTCCCCAGATGATTCTAACATGCTCACAAGTTCAAGAAGCACCGCCTCTGGGCTCTTCTGGTATCCCCACATGCTACGCACATGCTATGCGCACAAGTGCTCAAATAAATGTTTGTTGAACAAATGAATGAATGACTATCTGACCGTGGTCCACATCATGCAAAACGCCTAGAATAGAAATATGGGGATCTCTAAGGGTCTCCCCTACCTTCTCTAACACCCCAACCTGCTGTAGTTAACGCCTTCTTCCAGGAGTTTTGAGGCCTTAAATGAACAGTGGCCTAAACTCATGGCTCTCATACATTTCAGACTGGACTCCTTGGCTTAGTCAATGCACATTTACTGAGCACCTACCCTGGGTCACACAGATGAAGACCCTGGCCTGCCTTCCTCAGCCAGCCTCCCATTTTTGGGTGGAAATGCAACTATCTATAAGTGCACGTGTCTCCCACACAAGGTCTGCAATTTCGCAGGCAGAAAGCTGACTGAGAGCTCTCTCAGGAAATGTTAGTAATTACTCAGTTTTAGTCTATGAATACCACGTTTTAGGAAGTCTTAGTCCTGTGTAAAAATGAGTAGTCTCTTCTGGCATTGCAGGAAAATCTAAAGAGGCGAATGAGCTGCGCTTAATCAGATCACAGCCCGTCAGAGAATAATCCTCACCGGCCACAGAGGGACCTCAGCCGCACCCCTGAGACTAGCAGGTCTAACACGCTGTGAAGGCACAGAGACGGCAGAGAAGAGAAGGGGGCAAGGGCGCCCGGCCACGCCGTGTGGGTATTGGCCTTGGAGAGGCTCCCTGGCCCCTCCTCCCCTGGTGACCAAGATGTTCAGAAGCTGGGATTAAAGCTGCTCAGGGTTAAAAACAATTAGATGTAATTGTTTCTTTTATTTCCCCCTGGAGGGCAGAGCCCAGACTTCTAGGTTCTTTGTAACTCCCCCAGAGTCTAACGGCATGCCATGAACATAATGGGAGTGTTAAATATTTATTGAATGAATAAAAGAGGAAATGCAGATTCCAATTATTGATGGTGACGTTGGAAAATACTAAAAGTCCTCCTAAATTCAAATATCAAAAATATGCTTTCCCATCTAATAAATATTTTTTGATGGTGTTGGTATTAGTATTCAGAACTGCAGTCTCTGAATCTGTTATGAAACACTATTCTGGCATCCTCTTTTGAATCTCTAAGAATTGTCACATTGACTGCAACCATCTTCCTCTAATTCATCCAAGGCAGTCTGGGGCAAAATTTAACATTATAGGTCTGGATTCATTAGTGAAAATTACCACATGAAACAGATTCTCTTGGGCAGCATCTGACATTCCTGTGTATAAAGGGTGATTTATAGAAATAACACACAGGATTATAAACAGACTTCTTTTCTCCTAACTAAGAAATCACAAGATAAAAAATACAAAGCTTCTTGTTAAAAAAAAGATGAAGTCTACCGGGCAATAGGAACAGAGTGTCAGGGATACACAAGACTTTTAAAAGGAACAGTCCACAATCCACAGTCCCACGAATTCAAAACTAGACAATGACGAAAACAAAACTCAAGCGTTCAGTCCAGAGCATTAGGGTCGACCGCACCCTAGTTTTCCTCGCTGGTTCCTGTGCACCCTTTCAGCTGCATACACGGCCAACACCTACTTCCTTGCCCAGAGTCCCCTTAGCCCACCAAACCCTCTCTGAATAACACGGCTTGCCCAGGCCACGCCTAAGGGGTCAAGGGGAGAAATTCCAACCCGGAGGAGCTCTCCCCACCTTGGCCTGGACCTCCCAGGTGCTGTCTGTCCAGGTGCTGACACGTGGCTTCACCTTTCTGGGCTGACACTTGCCTCGCAGGTCCAGGATCTCCAAGCCCCTGCAGCTCTGGCCGTCCGTCCCGCCAGCACCGCCCTGCATGTCCCTCGGGTTTGTTCCATGTGAGGAGACACTCCTCAGTCAGGCCCCGCCCCTAGACTGTCCTCAAGGAGGAAACTGGGCAGACTAACTTGACGACCGCCCTTTTGGTCAGGGTGGAGTGTGCGGACTCGTTTTACTCGGACTGGCCCTCTACGCTGACCTCCAGCTAACTGCCAAATCCGCTCCAGGCCACGAAGAGCACGCAGGACCCGGCTGGCCAGACCACCACAAGGCCGGGCATCTTCCGCTGTCCTCTCCACCTCTGCAGGCGAGCACGGAGAAGCTTTGCCACAGGGGCAGCACCAGGGTTCAAGGCCCAGTCTGGCGCTTAGAAGCTCACGACAAGGTGCGTGAGTGCTCTTTCAGCGCACGGGAGAACACCGGCTCTGAGAAAGCGCATTTCCACCTAACTAAATAAAGCAATTTAAAAATACCAAATGCATCTGATATTTTGCTTTTTCCTAAGTCTTCCAGTTTAATTCCTCGGCACTCCCCAGCAGCTGACCTGCTGCAAAGCAAGCTCTCGCTAACAGAACATGAGCCTGCCCTCCAGGCGCCCACGGCAGGCCCCATCTCTGAGGCCCCGGCTTCTCTCTGCTCCGTCTTTCTTCTCCCTTCAGCACGTACTTAGTCCCCATTCTGAAAAGGTCATCTTTTCAGCCTTTTAGGTCTTTTTTCTTCTTCCTTTCAAGATGAAATCATCCTGTCTACAACTGCTATTCTAATTTTTAAAATAATTGTCTTGACATTATACTGCATATATATAACTTCTAGTTTTCTCTAAAACAACGTTCTTCAAACTGCAGGTCGTGCAACCAAGTTCAGTGAGTTATACCAGCTTTTTCCTTTTTCTTTTTTAATGAAATAGATAAGAAGGGAAGAGTAGAGATCAGAATGCACCCCACATGCAAGGTTAAGTACTGTTCCTAACACCTGCTTCAGGTGTGTGTGCTTGGGATGTAGCCCATGCTGGGTCACCACATAAAGTTTGAGAATCACTACTCTATGGAAACCTACTGACCTCTGTAATGTGCTGATAAATGTTTATAACTAATTTTTTTTAAAGCCCTCATTTGCAGCATCTGCCAATTTCTGTGGTGTAGATATTCCCACATGGCCAATCTCAAGCTCCAACGTGACACGAAGCTGGGAAGAGGTATGCACAGTTGGCTGGTAAGAGCAGCTCCCACGTGCCACTGGATGGCCTTATTGTTACCAATAACCAAAATCTCTGTTTGGTTGCAACTTTCAGATTCCCCTGCTGTCTTGGCCTTGATCAGTGGACTACTCTCCCCTCTAAACCCCCCAGGACCACCCCACCCTTGGTGTTGGCCATCTACTTTTCTGTGGGTCCTTTTCTTTCTCCTGCCTTTCTGGGCCCTTCCCCAAGGTTCAATCCTGGTCTTCTATTTTCCTCCTATAGTCACCAACTTCAAGAATTCATCTATTCACAGATCTCAGATACCAGATCTATCTGTAAAACCCTGATATCTCTATACATCTAGCCCAATTTCCCATCTTCTCCCAGGTCTTCTCTCCTCTTCTGGGGCTTCTCTGCACCTTTTCTTGCGACAGGTTGAGAAACCCTTATCCACAATGCTTGGGACCAGAAGTGTTCTGGATTTCATATTTTTTTGGATTTTGGAATATTTACATTATACTTAACAGTTGAGCATCCCCAATCCAAAAATCCAAAATCCAAAATGCTCCAAGGAGTATTTCCTCTGAATGTCACATTACCACTCAAAAAAGTTTTGGATTTTAGAACATTTTGGATTTCAAATTCCCAGATTTGGGATGCTCAACCTGTACAGTAAATAGTCACAGATTATCTGACAGCAATAAACTAAAGAATAAACTTACCATTCTCTAGTGTTAATATTTTTATTGTGTTGCCTAAGAACTGCAGCCAAGAGCCACAAATATACCTGAATGCAAAAATCAAGCAAGGAGTTAGCTGTTAGTTTTGAGCACAGTTTTTATATTTGCAGTAGGAATAAAGACTAAGTATTCCAAAGACATATAGTATCTAGGAAATAGTCATAAGT